TTACATAAAGCCCATAACTTTTTAATATGCACACTTTCAAGCAAAATTTTCATAGCTTTTTTTCCATCATCCTAAGTATGGTAATTACAACATTACCTTGTTTATTGCCTTCATTTGGGGAAAATATAAGTAAAAGCATTTATAACCCAACCCCATAACCACAACATTCAATTCACTAGTTATTTTTTATTTTTTGGGATTACTTTAGTGTCTTATTTTTGCCCTTCAAACACCACTACTTAGCCCTCCACCATAAGCCATCATAATAATTTATTTGAATCTGCAGCATTCACATATAGATCACTAGTGTAGACATTTATAGGATCATCATCCCTCGTTAAACTACAAAATCTATTCAAGTGACATATATAGCCACAATAGGAGTAAAAAGCAATAACCTTTCGTACTTAATTGGGAACCAATGAACTATTCCATGAGCTTTAATTGGTGTACTCAGAATAATAGGGCTTCATTACATTTATAGAAACTGATATATAAATAAAATGAGAACAATTCTTTAGATACTTAGTGTTAATAGAGATGAGGTGACCCATTCTTGGTGCATAGAGCTTGGCCACCTTTGTTATTATCAAATTACAAGGTAAAATGTACGTCTAGGCCCAAATTTCCATAGACCAGCAGCACTCAACATCCTTCGAATGTTTAATCCCAAAATTGGTTGAAGATATAAAACATCCTTTTTAAAGTGCCATGGGGCTCTATATAAAACTTGTATAAAATCATGTTCATCATGAAAAGTGAAGAAAAAAAGGTGTTGCAACCATAATTTAGTGTCCATCTTATCCATAGGCTTCAATTATTTGGTCATCATATCAGTAACCGACTGAGCATCAAAATTCTTTTTAGTATGGTACCGACTTGCAAAATACCACACCTTAGAGGTTAATGTCAATGTTGGAGAAATTGAATATTTATGCTTCTATTTTATTTAAATTTCACATGTGTATACCAAAGAAGGAGACAATTCTCACAACTATCAGTCATCCACTTTAAAAACTTACACATTACACTAAAAACTTGCACATTGAAACTAGAAAAAACACACAATTAAAAGAACAAAAAAAAAATATAAATGTATAGAATAAAAAATAAAACGTCAAGAATAGATAGTACGAAAAGACGAAGGTAAAAACCTCCCAATAATGAGAAGCACAACAAGCTCACACTAAGGGAGGAAAAACTTTCCATTAGTTGGAGGATGTGATTCAAATCATTTTCATAATTTGATAAGAAAAACAAAGAGTAAAAACTAATTTCATCAATTTTGAAATTTACTTTCCTTTTACTTGAGTTGGGGAAGGAAGAAAGAGATGCTAGATTTGGGTACTAGGAAATGAAGAGCGACAATGTTATTCCAATTTGATGGAAATTTAATTTAATAGAAAATGTTTTATTTATGATATAATATTTAACGTTTTATTTAATAATGAATTAAATGAGGATGGTGTTAAATAAAATTAAAAAAAAAAAAAAAAGATTTAACCCACCATATTATCCAAGTAATAAAAATATATAATTTTTCATATTCGTGTACATAATTTTTATATTGTTTTGTACAATTTAAATATTTATTTTTGTTATATAAATTAAAAATTAGGTGGTGGCGAGGGGCCCGGAGGAATGCGAAGACCGAAACGACTATGACTTGCGCTAATCAATGTATACATACATATGATTCTTTCACATGGGGATGCGTGTTCTCTCTCTCTCTCTCTCTCTCTCTCTCTCTCATCACCATCCCTTTTGACTTTCTCCCATGTCTTCCTTCTTCAACCTCTTTCCCTCTCTCTCTCTCTCTCTCTCTCTATAATATCATTATTACCCATAACTTCATCACAAAAAATATAATCAATTTATGACACACAATCCCTTCTTCTACAACACATTACCAATTTGGGTTCTCTTGGACACGTGTCTCCTAATCAATCAATCCCATACTCAATTAATTAAACAAATAATAACTCAAATATTTATAGATATGTAAGGCAGAAAAGTAAGGGAGGGCAGGAGTCAGGATATTAATAATGAACATAGAAATCTGTATACAACCAAGGACAAGCCAAAGTCAATACAAAAAGAGGGGAACCATCATTCACAAATGTATAATCATCAGAAATTGGCTTACATGCTCAGTCTTCCCCACCTCCCTCTAACATTAACCCAAAAATATTACACCCCCACACCCACACCCACATATATATATATATATATATCCTAACCCTACCTACTCTCCTTCCTTTGATTATTCTTTTTTTTTTTTTTTTTTTTTAACCTTAAAAAAAGTGGAAATTCTCATCACCATCTTCTTCTTTTCTTTCTTTTTTTTCTCAAAAAAAAAAAGAAAAAAAAAAGAAATATTTGTTCAAGTGAACCAGTGAAGATCATGTGCTCTGTCACTGACTCACTGCAGCCCACTCTGTTGTACAACTACATCTCGGAATAGAGACAATGGAAGGTGCCCTGTGTAGTCTGTTCCCTAACTCCCATCCCCAAAAGGAAACCCCTAATTTCCCTTTCATTTTTCTTTTCTTTTTTCTTTTCCCTTTCATCCCCCTTCAAGCCCTAACGAATAAAGTCAGCTGCACATGCACCCCTTTGACCAATCACGAACCCTTGATGATGTACCTGAATATCTGATGAACAGCTGATGCTATCTCATCCGCTGATCCTAGCTTACACTCTTCCTCCATCTGCGATCAGTACCCATTTTCATTTCAACTTCAGATAATAAAAAATTAATACTAGGGTAGGGTTTGCTTAAAAGACCAAGTCTAAACGGTTGACCACTACAGGAAAACAAACAAGAAAACAACTGAGTTGCTGCACCACACATACCTTGAGGTTGAAAGAGTAGTGAACACGAGATTGAGAAGTGGTAATGTTGAGATGCAAAACTGTGAGCCTGAGATTCTCTAGTGAAACAATGGCTTTTAACAACTGCCCATGTCTTCTTGGACACTGAATCTTCATGTTCACATGATTCTGTATGACTGTCACCTCAATGTCCGCTGTTTCAGATTTGTTCTCCGCCTTCACTTCTTCTCCACTTTGTGTTCGCGACACCACCAACCCGTTCGACGAAATGCCCGTCATGGAATTACACACCGAGTTATCTGTACTTCCTTCGCCTTTTCTCATTCTCTTTTGCGTTTCAAGAGATTGCAGGAGTTGCTCCAGTTCCTTCACGAAGTCGATTGCACCCCCTATTATCGACGCTTGGTCACCCTGAAAACATAGACCCATGAATCATATCATTTTTTAAACAAGAAAAATTGAAACTTTGACGAAATGTTGTGAAGTAGAGAAAATGAAGATGTTATAATGACTGCTGGAGATGGGGGGGAGGGTTAGAATGAAGACTTACTCTCTGGATGTAGGAGGGAGGCATGAGTGAGCGGAGGGAGTTGAGGTGGTCATTCATTTGGCGTCGACGGTTGCGTTCTACGGCAATGTGGGTCATGCGCTGGCTCTCTACTTCCTCTTTGTTCTTGGTTGTTTTTGTTCGCTTTCTTTTTTTTCTTTCTCGGGTGATTGGAGGGGTGGATTTGGGGAAGTGAGTATCTCTAGGCTTGATTTGTGGGTGTGTAAGTGGAGGAGATGAGCCCGAGTTTCCTTCTCTCGGATAGTTTTCTCCGGAGTTTGTGTTAGACACAGAGCTGACGCCTTCTACGTATGACGTTGAATGTGGGTTTTGGATGTCCTTCGTCTCGGATTTGACCGGTGAAGGCAGGTCTAAGTCTACTATTTCATGCGTTACGCAGCTTTCAAACTCTAGTGCTTGAATTTGTGTGTCCATGTCAGGAAGGGTGGGGTTTAACTCCCATGGCTTTTTCACGTGTTGGAGTCGCAGCAGTGTTTGAAAGTTGGGTTCTTTGAAAGGCAAAAATGATGAGGATTCTACGCTTTGTAACATCTGAAGAAATGGCATTTTGTCTTCTAAGCTTGGTATTGACAAGTGCAATTCTTCTTCTTCCTCAAGTCTCCAGTTCTCTTGGTTAACAAATCCTTGCTCTAAGAACTCCACATCGAGATGCTCCTCCAAGAACTGCAAGAAACATAAAACCCAAGAAAAACTATGAGCACGAAAAATAAGAAATTGGGGGAATTCTCCTGTGGTCTAAATGGAAGCAAAGAAGAAGAGTCTCCGGGATTGGGTGGGTTTTCATGTTCTCATTGGAGAAAGGAGAATAAACTTAAGAATTGGAATAGAATGTTGAACAAAGCAAAGAGATATTGCAGATTCTAGTATTTCCAGAAAAGCAACACAATGCATTGAATGCAAATATCTGGAGAAGTAAATGGAGTCCAGTCTTAATACTAGAAATGGGATTCAACTGTTCAAGGAAAGAGAGAGGGGAGAAGAGAGATGGGTACTAAAAATGAGCAAAGTAACATACGCAAGAATTAATGGGTCCTTGGAGCCTCTCCATTGCAGCTGAGAAGTTGTTGAGGTGTGAGCCTTTAATTCTCTCTCTCTCTCTCTCTCTCTCTCTCTCTCTCTCTCTCTCTCTCTCTCTTCTTTACTCTCTCTCCCGGCTACCTACATTCCATGGTGATGCTTACAATGCAATACTATTCAATAAATGTAACCCCTGAGAACCAGAGCAAGACCTCATATTATACAACCACAATATATTCCTTTCATTCTGATGCTGGTAAGACTCTTAAATAGGGAATAATATTAAATGCTTAGAAGAACTCAGAGAGAGGGAGAATCACCAAAGCCGAAACTTTAGAGATGGATGCAGGTGAAGAAAGGTAAAGCCCAATAACAAAAAAAGGGTGAAGAAGATGGAAATGAAAAAGAGGTGGAAGGAGAAACACAGGGTGGAGAACACAGTAACACTCAAAACTCAGTATGTGAAGATATACAACGAAGGTGAGTTTGAGGGTTAAGAGGTAGGTGCTGAAGCTTAGTAAGAAAGAGAGAGAGAGAGAGAGAGAGAGAGAGAGAGAGAAAGAGAGTTATAGAAGGTCCCAAGGCATTATTGGCGGTGGCAGTTTTTGTCTAGCAGCGGGGACAGACAGTTGTGGGGACTCTCTACCAAGGACACATAAAAGAAAAGACTTTAGAAAGGCTACGTATGGATTGTGTGTCATCTGTCCGATCATGGGTCATTTGGTCACCTTAAGCACATTTCTCTTCCAAATTTCATCCTCTAATCTCTGCTTTTTATTACATTACCCTTCAAGTTTAGGGGTACCCTTATCCCCTAAACTTTTTACCATCTTCCATGTATATTGCCCTGTGTTGTAGGGCAGTAACAGGGAGTAATCATATCTTCTTTGATAGGCAAATGAAAAAAAAAACATGTTTTTCTTTTCTGGGTATGGAAATTTTTAATAAAAGAGATTAGTATGGAATATTGATTCTATTAATTCGATATCATTTCCAATTGCCAAATAGAAAAATAGAATTTCGAAATCAACTTGCTCACATGGAATTTATGGGCAAAAATGTTTTTAAAAAATTATGGGTAAAAATTTCAACTCAAATTATAATATTTAGTAAATTATTTTTTTTATAATAATATTGAGATGTATATAATATTCACCGTTAGTAACAACAACATGTATAATAAAAAGTATTACGTAATTGTATTATATTCAAGAAGACTTTGTATTTTTTTTTTATTTTTTTTAAGGAATTGAAATATATTTATAATATTCTATATAAATATTTTAAAAAGAATTATGATTTTTATTTGCTTTCTTTTGAAGCAATTTTTCTTGTTTTCAGGAAAAAAAAAAAAAAAATCATATGCTTGTTTAGTCGAAGGTAGCCAAATGTAGGTTTTTCAATTAATTAAAATATTCATCATCTAGAAGTTAAATCTTTCTTTCCGAGAAAGCAACCAAAAAAAGCCTTAATGTTGCCAAAGGAAAGAGAATGTAACTAACCTTTTAAAGTTTTTAATTATGTATATGTGTATATATATATATTTCCAATATTATATTTAAAATAAAACCAAAAATATCGTAATCTTCTTGCAATTTAAACTAATTAATGTAGTTAAGAGAAATGTATAAATCGTATTAAAATAATAAAATATTAAAATTGAAGACATGTATTTTACATTATGTTAAAATTATTCTACTTTTACCAAGTAATTAACTAAAAGACAAAGTTAGTTGTACATTAGCCATTAAAAAATCCACAATTTGTATGAGCATCACATCTTCTAACACAAGAATGATTTTACTCAATTATTTCAAAGGAAAAAATATTGTTATAAGTTTTACAAGAAACAATGTCTAGAGAAGGTATAGTTACTAAAAACAAATTTAATATGAAGCTCTTGATTATTTTTCAAAAAAAAAAAAAAAAAAAAAAGACTATAACCAAAATAAAACTAATAAGACGGGTATTGAATTTAAATTCAAAAGACTTCGTTTGCGAGAATTGACCACTCATAAAGACTTAATTCTCATTCTTTAAATTTAAGAACAAAATTATTTTATAGAAGTAGATAATACTAAATTCAGTATCAATAAAAAAATAGATTAGCTATCAAGACTATTATGTCAGCTAGCAAATACGATAAGAGAGCACAATTATCAACTAGTTATTAACATGTCATAATGCATGAATCTTTATACCAATCGTTAGCCAGTTGGATACTAAATCTATACTTAGATATGAGAGTTTTATAAGCATTTTGCAAAACTAATATTAGAATATTATCTCTATATTTCTTTTGTTATGTTTTCCTTCTATTTTTCTTTCCATGTCTTTCTTTTTATTTTCTATACCCTTTTTATCTTGCTCTCCACCTACATTACTTCACTTAATGTTAATTTGCTTGGATGCTACAACGTGTTTGGTAAAGATATGATTTACGAATTGTTACTTCTATCCAAATGGAGAAAAAATATTGAAAATAAGAGTATATGATTTTTGAAGTTCTTAAAGCTTATTTTGGTATTCTATTTCAACACTAGTATTTTTAGTGAGCTCACAAACCTCAAACAAAATTTATACCCCAATAATTTTCTAAAAACATTAACAAAAGAGTTTATAAAAAAAATATCTTTATCATTTAAAACCAATGACTTATAAGAAAAGTATAAGCTATAAAATGTCTGTGTTTTATTCCATTCTCCTTATGCTTTTACTTAATTTTTACTCCCATCTTTTCTTACATACTATTAAAGGAATTCGAATATATTTTATGTTTGACCTCACTCTCAACTCCCAAAATTTTCAGGGTGAGAATTTAATTTAAAGATGGAAGTGGATGTGAAGTTAAATGTACAAATCATATTTCTATTCGTTTATCCAAGCTCAAGCTTCCCTCCTCCATTTAAAGAAATGTAGAAAAACAGAGACCACAGCTCTCCCTTCCCCACAAAATCCACAGAGAGGAATTAAAGGGTTCAGTTCTCCATGAATGTGTCCATGAACGAGCGTCCTTCATACCCACCAGAGACATGTCGAGTGCTACCTTTGTTTGTTCCTATTCTCAATTATTGCTTTCCTTTTTGAATTGGGTCCTGTGGGGTGGGGATGTCTTGCATTAATTGCTTATCAAACAGAGCCTTTGTCTTGAAGATTCAACTCAAATTATTATTCCCTTCTCCTTAATTACAGATTTTGATAGTTAATAAATAGTTGACTCTTCCTAATCGCCCCATGGAAAGGCAATTTTAGTGGCACCCAGAAGGCCAAAATTTATTAAAAAAAAAAAAAAAAAAAAAAAAAAAAAAGGTTTCTTACTTTTATCTTCACCAAGTGACCCATTTAAAGTTTTTTTTTTTTTTTTATTTTTATATTTCAAGTCAATGATTGTTCAATAAATCTTACCGATTTATGAAGGTAGTAGTACAGTCCTTTACAAAACTTCACAAGATCCTATGAATCACAAGATCCCAAAAAAAAAAAAAAAAAATG